AAACCAAACAAACCATAACTGTAAAGCTTTTAGTCATATTTGAATTATTAACGATATAGGTCTGCTGTGAATATTAAAGACATGTTTTGAAGGATTTTTGTTCATGATTACTCGATCAAGTAAATATGAGTTATTTGCACAAACATATGCATCATTTTTGGTGAAATAAAGCACTGCGTAACGCGAAAAGCTCGAAATAAGATACTGCAAGAAACACTTTCGTGCAGTCTTACACGAAAGTTCTTATATAAGCTATAAATCGCAGCAAAAAGTAACATATCATTATTTACTTTTATAAAGCTTGCAAGTATTGAAAATACATTTATCTATTTTGATGAATCATACATACTCCAAAACATCAAGAACTGTTTTATAAAACAGTGCAATTTTCAATAATACATTTTCCATTGCTTAATTTTGGTCAGTGACAATGAAAATTTCGTACTCTGCGTGACTAGAGTAAGATTAGTCTATTTTTATTTTATTTTTTTTGTGGATAAATGATTTTGTTTATTTGCTTTTATCAGAAATAAAAAAAACACAACTATACTCAGAGGTTTTTGTGAAGTGCAGGTTTCAAACAGAAACTACTCCCCGTATCAGTCTGTGGCTAGAGAGAATAATTCCAAAACAGAGAAAAATCCACTATGTTCCTAGATACTTAGGGATGACCAGAATTGGCGCAACAGCCCAATAGTGTGTGTCACAAGATAGTTTGTATTGATCTAACCGCCGAGTTTGGATTTGTTGTTCCATGGCGGAACTACTAATGTCCGATCCTCCACCTGTAGCCACATTTTGTGTTCTCATAACCCTGTAATTTCCTGCAAATGCTACCTTGTATAGTGTCACCATCTTATGGCTTTCGATAGTAGAGTTTTTTTTTTGTTTTTTTGTTTACTGTGTATAAATAGTTTTACTTTTATTTGTCTTTCCTTTCTACTTTTTTTTGTGAAGTCGAAGTTCGTAATTATTTTTGTTATATATATATATATATGTGTGTGTGTGTGTGTGTGTAAAGCTAATGGATAATTTCTAATATGATTAACGTTATAAGGTCTCCACAGTTTTAGCTTTTACAAAAAAAAACACAAAATATAGTCGAATCAATTAAACAATTCCAAGTTGTTTGAACATTTATGCAACTAAGTTATTGTTTGTTCTTTGTTAGAAAAATCCAAACAATAGCTATAAAAATCCGGTTTTTATCGTTATCGTCATAAAAACTCTCAGGTTCTTCGTTGAGCCATGGCTGGTGAGTAGGTGGGAGGTACAACTAAATTAATTAAAACTTAAATGTAATTTATTAAATTCATATAATTTGATGCACGAGCATTAGTTTTAAGCGTTATTTTCTATTTTAGCATATTATGGATAAAAAATTATGCCAGGTTACGATAACAAATACCATTGCATTTTATTTTTATTTTACTTTATCAGGGTTAGAAACATACGAAGAAACAGAGTACTTAGTTTTGCTAAAACTACAAATGACAAAGAACAAGAATTGATAAGAATATATTAAGTTATGGAGCTTGAATTTATTTATCTATTAGTTTGCCTGCAAGTGTATTCTTTTTTATTTAAATATTTTAGAAAAGGGGGCGGTATAAGCTCTATCTTTTTCTCTTTACATTTAAGCCTAGTGAATCGAATTTAGGGCAGAATATGAATAACTTTCTTCTTCTTTGGCTTGTTTCTTATATTAGGGGTCCCCGACCTTCACACATGTCTTCTTTCAATAGTCTTTATTCATTACCAAGTCTTCTGAAATTTCTTTCTCGTTCATGCCTTCTTTGATCCCATCCTTCCCTGTCTTCTCTTTCGCTACTGGTAGCTCTAATGCTCTCCTATATGCTTGTTCTTCTTTTTCTTCTCTTTACGTCACCGAAACAATTCAGCTTCGCTTCTCTTGCCTTTTCCTCGATCCCACAGACTCCTGCCATTTCCTTAATTTTCTTATTCGTTCTTTTATCCTTCAGCAACACTCCTAAAAAGCCATCTCAGCATTCTCATTTCTGTTCCTATCAACAAGCCGCCTTCTTTCCTCTTCAGGGTACAGTTTTCGGCTTTGTAGAGGAGCAGCCGTTTAATCACGGTCTTATACACTTTGGCTTTCAGTGCCCTTGGTAATCTTTTGTCACATATGGCTGTAGCTAGTTCCTTCCATTTCTTCCAACACGCCTAGGTTCTCACAGCTTTCCCACTTCCTCCTTCACTTTGGATTGTAGTTCCAATATACCTAAAGTCTTCAACCTGCTCCAGCGGCTTCCCGTTTACGTCTGTGATCTTGACATTCTTCTATCTACCCCTTCCACTCATCATAACTTCCGTTTTTGTAGTATTTATTTTCAAGCCTCTTCCACACTTTAACAGAATATTATTACCCTATTGTATTAAAATGATTTTAAGACTAATAAAACTGCTCAAACTCGAAAGATAAATGTTTTTAACTACAGAGGTTCAATACCTTTAAACTTACAGAAATGATCTGCTAGATGTAAGTTTGAGAATCAATGCGAAGGCAGTGTAAAGTGGAAAAATTGTATTCATAAATGAAAGTATTCTAAATTACATTTAACAATTTAACATAGGGACGACAATCCAAATTAAGAGAATTAAATGCTTTACGGCTCGAAGCTTGTGACATAACTTATGCTAACTATTTTCTAAATACATTTGATAAATCGTTATATCAAACTGCCCTTCAGTAGCTCAGCAGAAAGTCCGAAGCCTTAAAATGGTAAAAACCGGGTTTCGATATCCGTGGTGGGCACAGCACAAAGAGCCCATTGTTTAACTTTGTGTTTAACTTTAAAGAAAGTAAAAAAACAGAAATATATGAAATGTTTCTATTGAACTCATCAAGGAATAATAAATAGCAAGTGAACACTTTCTAAAAAGTTGTAATTTTAAGGAAATAACTGATTTTTTTAAATGTATGATTAAACAATATTTAGAAAAAGATCACAGTTAAATCACAATTATATAAGTCAAGTGTCCTCTGAGATGTGACTTTCCTTTGTTTTATAGGTGAATTGGAAATCCTAAGTGAATAAAATTTTCCCCCGTTTAAGAAGAATGTACAAACTTATTTTTAGTTAGTTGCAAAATTTCTAGTGAAATAGAAAAAAATCTAAAATAATTATAACAGGTATAGTTTAAAAGAAATAGAAACTGATTTAATCATATATCATTAAAAGTATGCCTCTTTGCACTGTAGTTACTTCTAATTTCTATGTTATATGATATCGTAACCAGAATGAGCTGTAATCAATCTACTTGTACTTAACAAAATTAAATCGGAACCTCGTATTTGTAAATGGTATCAAATACTATAATAATAAAATAATTTTCGACAAAGTATTCA